CTTAAAAGGTGGTATATAATTTTCGAGGAAATTCTGTTTTGCTTGATCATGTCAAACACCATGTGTGGAGTGTAACAGGCTTTAAAACTATATACGCTGGTATTTGAGTTTAAAGGAAACTGACAACGAGGCTTGGGTTCTCTAAAGTATTCATTAGATCTTCAGCATACTCTACTTTGAATGAAATAAAGTCAATTTTAATTTCAAGAATTTTATCGTTTGACAGCGTGCATTGCTTATTGCAGCTTGTCCATATGAATAATTGTTCGCACCTGCATGAGATTCATCCTAATGCTTTTGGATGGTCTGATCATAGCGATGGAAAAGTTAGTGGCATAAAACATTTTTACGTGGAACACTGCAACCTGAAGATGATAAGCGAGGACCTTTTGCCGTGGGATACGGTAAGCTGCATTGTAAAGATATCAACGATTTTTTCACTTTTGAAACTGAATAAAAAACTACGGCTTCATTGCTGGTGGACGGAACCAACAGTTCTAGTTATTATTAGAAAAGGATATGCAGCAGTTTTCATTATCGTAAGTATCATTGATAAATTTCATTCCATCAGCCCTTCCTTCGTCTTTAGTTCTTAGTTATTATTACAGCTTTCAAGAAGTAAATGAAGGTGATCTACATCACACCCTACCACCCATATGCCATGCATACCCAGATTCCTTCAGACAAAAGACCTGTGCATCTTAATTGCAGTTAAAAATGGTCTAATGTTTCATCTCTTAAGCTGCATATATTTCCTTTATGCTATAATAGAAAATGAATATTTGTTCTTTAATGTCAGGAATTATTGCTAATGTCCTTCCTTCGTACATTAAGTAGGCAGTGGTAATTTCTCCATGAGATAAAACGCTTCAATCTGATGAACTCAACAAATGAAACAGCTTTAATAACGCTGTGGATCGATCGTTAATTTTTTGGTAACCCAGGTTTTGTTTGTAATTGCTAGAACAACACCATGTGCGACTCTTGAGCTAATTTTATAATTACAGCTTAGTCGCAGATAAAGTGACCATTATTTGCTAGTTTTACTACATCTCTTACATACTACCTACTATCAACTATTATATCG